ATCTCCTCCTCTCCCCTCTTTTTCTTTTCTTTTCTTTTTTTTGGGGGGCACCGAGCTTATTGAATCAAGGACAATACAGGAGGTAGCCAGTGATATTGCTGGAGTTGATTGATCCATATATATATATATATATTAGTGGTAAGAGCTGAGATTTTTTTAGAAGTGTTTATGGGGCAAACTGAATGCATCAAATTCCAATGGAATCATCTTTAGCAAAACCAAATAAAATAAAATAAAATAAAAAGCTCCTATGATCCTCCTTTTTTTGATCCACTGTTTAGGCTCAAACCGTTCGGAGTATAATTATTCTTACCAATTGCTCTGTCTGTCTGTCCTTCCCTCCCAACCACTGCTGCCACTGTTTAAGAAAAAAATCAGTATCCCCCAGTGGTGAAATTCAAATTGTTTTACTACCAGTTCTATGGGCATGGTGTGGCTTGGTGGGTGTGGCTTGGTGGGCGTGGCAGGAGAAGGATACTGCAAAATTTCCATTCCCACCCCACTCTGGGGCCAGCCAGAGGTGATATTTGCTGGTTCTCTGAACTACTCAAAATTTCTGCCACTGGTTCTCCAGAACCTGCTGGATTTCACCCCTGGTATTACCTCAATACTCAGACAAGCTTCCTTTGAATTGTCAGTAATGAGATTGGTTAGTATAACCCGATCTGTTGTCCTAGGTGTCCTCTGAAAGACCACAAGATATACCAATGGCTATGTATTTGACTTCCATAAAATAAGACCATTCATATCAGTCTAATATAAGGTAACATTTATATAATGCAATCAGGACTATTTGCCCACATTGTCTTTAAGGGACAAAAAAACTAATAACATTTGAAGACTAATCATACTGCTTCTTCTTTAAGGCTGTCTATTATGTTCTTGGCTAAGACAAAATTAGATACTGGAATGGCATGATGAATAATTTTATTATGCACATATATTGCATGAGTGCTATCCTAGGCAGATCTTTGTACCTTACTATAGATAGCCTTAGGGTGGTACTTCTTTATATAAAAGTAAGTTTTTTCTGAGTTCAGCAAAACTAATTCCAGGTAAGCGATGCAGAATCCCAGCTTTCGTCTATTATATCAGTTTTCTACATCACTTGCTTTTAATTATTACTCTGGTTTCTATTTCTGCAGTAATGACATACTGTAGAAGTACCGATGAGCTTTTGAAGAAGAACTTTAAGTAGATGAAGATGTTTAAAATAATCCCAAACATACATTCAAGTAAATACTATAGAGGATTTGTGTATAAATCATGGCTTCATACAAGAGTTATCTTGAGATAAGATGGGAGGCCTATAAATTTAATAAACAAACAAACAAACAAATAAACAAGACAAGTAGGATATTCATGTGCTTTTTAATTCACAAGTTATACTTGTGTCCCCTTCATAAAAAATCTCCCTATCTGTATATTTTGGACTTAGTATCAATCACCAAAGACATAAAAGGTAAAGGTTCCCCTTGCACATATATGCTAGTTGTTCCAGACTCTAGGGGGCAGTGCTCATCTCCGTTTCTAAGCCGAAGAGCCAGCGCTGTCCGAAGACGTCTCCATGGTCATGTGGCCGGCATGACTAAACACCAAAGGCGCACGGAACACTGTTACCTTCCCACCAAAGGTGGTCCCTATTTTTCTACTTGCATTTTTTACATGCTTTCAAACTGCTAGGTTGGCAGAAGATGGGACAAGTAACGGGAGCCCACCCCGTTACGTGGCACTAGGGATTTGAACTATTGAACTGCCAACCTTTTGATCAACAAGCTCAGTGTCTTAGTCACTGAGCCAAAGACATAGAAATAATAATTAATAATGTCTTGGTGCAATTTGCTAAAAATTGTTTAAATGGCTTTCTTCTTATCCACTTAATGCCCTTTTCTTTAAAATAAAAATGCAGCAGGTAACAGATGAGTTTGAGAGCATCTGTATAAACAAGAAAAGACAATATGGCAAACCCTAGATCATGAATAAAATGCAGTCCTTTCAGGCTCTGGTGACAAGAACACAATCAGCAATTAAAATACTACTCTGCAATAGCAAGAGATGTGTATAAAGGATTTGCTGTGCTAGTAGTCACCTCTGAAAAGAGGTGACTGCTTATCTCTTCCTCTCCTTTATGCAAGTGCCAATTTTGTTGGCACTTAAGACACGCTGACAAAAGAAGTTTATTCACTGGGCTACAATCCTATACATTGCCATTGATGCAATGAGATGACAGACATTTGAAGGGCAGCTTTATCCCACGCATGGCACAGAGATGTTGGCTTGTCAAAGCAGGGCTGGGGGCATAGAGCAATTCATGTTACTGTTCAGTGCAGAGGGTCTTCTTTTCTTTGTCCTTGTCCTGTCCTTGTACTCTTAGCTAAATTTTACATAGGACTGAGAGGATGGTCTATACATGGAATGATTTTCCTTCTGATACCTACATTTTCAAAGTACTAAAGACCTATTTAAGCAACAAATGAACTTTACAGACTTCCAAAAGTAGGGGGAACATGCACTGGCACCTTCTCCACATGCACATTGCCACTGGGTGTATCTTGGATTCTTCCACATGAGCAGGGCTCAAATCCATGAAGAATCCTCCATTAGTCCTACTTATATTATGGTAGCAGATTGAAGAAGGATCTGGTTGGCACATGCATACCAAGAAAGCTGAACTATAGCAAGATGAATTCTTCTATTCTGTGTAGATATATTGTTCCCATGTCCAGAATTTATATGTGTGTGTGTGTGTGTGTGTGTATAGGTCTTTGGTTATTCGGGTTTTCTCCCGCATAAAATTGGAAGTGTCTTGGCGACGTTTCGACGAAGTCTCATTCGTCATCTTCAGGCTGGTGTTTTCGGCTTCATGCTTCTAGGAGCAATGTATGATTGCAGCTGTTTCTTCCTTTTAACTGCCAGTGGGGGAGTGAACTGATTGGGTGGGAGCTTGGCTGTGTTCTGATTGGCTGGAGGTGTGTTCTGGTTGGTTGGGGGTTTGGCTGTGCTCTGATTGGCTGGGGGGTTGGCTGTGCTCTGATTGGCTGGGGGTGTGTTCTGTTTAGGTGGGGGCTTGGTTGTGCTTGGGTTAGTCTGAGTTGCAGGGGGATTTGAGCTGGTGAGCTGCGTTGCTGTTGTTTGGCTTCGCGTTCGTGGTCGTGCCACATCTTCATGGTGGGTGTCAGTTTGCTTCATGTATGGATGGAGGGGTTTAAAGTGGCTAATGATGCAGCTGTGGTCTGGCTTCTGGTCTGTGGTCGTGCCCCATAATCAGTGTGGGTTTGAGTCTGCTTTCTGCGTGGAGGTGTGGTGGTGACATCCTGTGTGGCTCTCGTGAGTGTGGGTCTGGTGTCATTCGTCGTGTTAGGGACTTGTTTGTCAATAAGGGCGGGTTTCCAAATGGCTGGTAGGCGGGAGGTATTGTCTTGTTTGTTCATGCTGTGTGGGCGTTTTTCTATCTCGATGGCTTCTCTGATTATTCTGTTGTTAAAGTGTTCAGTTTTGGCGATAGTTCTGGTCTTTTTAAAGCCAATATCATGTCCTGTGGCTTTAAGGTGTTGGACCAGGGAAGAAGTTGGTTCCTCTTTTCTGACTGAGTTCTTGTGTTCTTCTATGCATGCACTTATTCGTCTGTTGGTTTGTCCGATGTATGTGGTGGGGCAGGCGGTGCATGGGATTTCATATACTCCTTGATTTTCTAACTCAATTTTGTCTTTGGGGTTCCTTAGGATGGTGGATATTTTTGGTTTGTGCAGAATGCTGTCTTGATGTTATGTTTGTGGAGGATTTTGCTTATTCTGTCTGTGGTGCCTTTTATGTATGGGTGCAGAGGATGTTGCTGGTGCAGAGGATGTTGGTGATTTCGAGTCTGATTCTGTTTGCGTCATCGGGGTTGATTTTGGTCAGGCTGGTTTCAACTCCGCATATAATGGTTTCAGTGGGGATGCTTTTGGGAGCGACTGCAAAGTTGAATCCTTTAGAAAGGACATTGGTTTCGGCTTTGGTGAGGATCCTATCTGAGATGTTATGCACTGTTTGTTTCATGTGTGGCTGTGAGGGTGGAGGGGATTGTTTCTGGCGTTCTTGTAGTCTTTGGAGTTTGTTGGTGTGTGTGTCTGTCTTGAGGGCGGTCTGTGTTTCGGCTCTCCAGACAGCAAGTTGTTTGGATTTGTCCCAAAGTGCGGGGTGGATCTTGTTGCTCAGTTTGAGGTGAAGTGTGAGGAGATCCTTGTTGATTCGGTCTAGGAGGAATCTTTTTCTGTGGAGTTCATTTCTGATTAGATTAGGGCTAGTTCTGTTCTTTTCAGAATGCGTTTGGTGGCTGCAGAGTTGGAGTGGAATTTCAGTTGGAAGCCTGTGGGGATTAAATTTTGATCTCGGCAGTTGCGTAGGAATGCAAGGTCACATAATATATATATATATATATATATATATATATATATATATATATATATGTATGTATGTATGTATGTATGTATGTATGTATGTATGTATGTATGTATGTATATATAGCTCTTGCCCACCTAGCAATTCAAAAGCATGCAAATGCGAGTAGATAAATAGGCACCACTTTGGTGGGAAGGTAATAATGTTCCATGCACATTAGCATATGTAGTCATCCTGGCCATATGACCATGGAAAAGTCTTCAGACAATGGTGGCTCCCTCAGCTAAGAAACAGAGATGAGCACCCCCTAGAGGCAGACAGGGACAGGGGAAACCTTTATGTTTATATAAATGTTTTATTTTGTGCCTTCTATACAGTCTTGATTCCTGTAGTTTCTTAGCATGATTTTTGGAAGGGATTTGCCACTGCTTTCTTCACATAGCAGAGTGAGAGTGACTGGTCCAATGTCACCTAGTTGGTTTTGTGCCTAAGACAATACTAAAACTCATGATCCCCAGGTTCTAGCCTGATGCCTCAAATCTCCCTCTCTCCTTCTTTTCTCCCTTCCCTTGTTAATGGGCATTATTGCTCATCAAATAGGAACTGTTTAGTAAAGGAAAGCTAAATGAAGTTGGTTTTATGAACAATCAAGCATCTTCCAGGTATTGGTTTTAATCTGGACAATTCAGCCAATGTCTCTGATGTAAATGGTGTAAATGATCCGTGTAGTCCTTTATAACTCTCTGGCTCTCAAGTTCCAATTTTAACTTAAATCTTACAAGTAGCATTTCTGATGATTAATGTGTTTCCTTGCTTGACCTTGGTTGAGTAAATTAAATGGGAATATATAGCACCAAAACTTTGAAGGTTGTGCAAAGTGCTTGGGTTGCTTTGAGGGAATTCCAGACTTGAATCTTTTTTAAGAAAGAAGAACGAGAGGGAGTGAAACTTGTAAGAAAAGTGAGGGAAGAAAAAACTAAATCAGATATCTATTAAAAACAAATTAGTGGCGACTGAAAATCAAATTAAGTCAGAAGTAATCAATCTTATTGTAAATCTCTCTGGTGAGTATTAATGACTAATTTTTCTTGTACTTGATGAAGGCATCCATTAATTAGAAATATTTATACAAAGTAAAATCTTGACATTGGTACTTGGAATATTCATCCTGAAAGAAGCCAGCACATATTAATCAGCCAATCTAGCAAAAAAAAAAAAAAAGACCTGATTTTACAGTGAAGCAAGTCGTTGTTTCAATAAATCTGATCTAATGCCCTCATTAAATATCCTTCAGACCAGCTGTTAAAAAGAGACGTGCAAACTTTAAAGCGATGGATGGAACTATTCATATTGTCACCATGGCATAACTAGCTGAAAGAAGGGGGCAATCTCTCATTTTAGTTTTTTCTTTTGTTCTCTGGAACTACCAGCATCTGTAATGGTATAAGGCTGTGATGGCGAACCTATGGCACGCGTGCCACAGGTGGCATGCAGAGCCATATCTGTGGGCATGTGAGTGTTGCCCTAGCTCAGCTCCAGAATGCATGTGTGCACCGGCCAGCTGATTTTTGGGCTTTCTGGTCCTACTGGAAGTCAGAAAATGGACCATTTCCAGTCTCTGGAGGGCCTCCAGGGGGCGTGGGGAAGGCCATTTTCGTCCTCCCCAGGCTCCAAGAAAGCCTCTGGAGCCTTGGAAGGGCGAAAAACAGGCCTGGGGTGGGGCACATTGAATTATGAGTGTGGGCACGCACACGTATGACCCCCCCACGCTCTCCCCATTTTTGGCATGCGACAGCAAAAAGGTTAGCCATCACTGGTATAAGGGAATGATCTTGAGACAAGAGGAGAAACCACAGACAGGACAACTGTCATGTAAAAAAATACCTCAGTCCACAGAAAGGGGGAGGGTATAAAAATAGTAAAGATGCCTTTTGCAATTGACTGATGGTGATTTTGTCAATGCTAATGGTGTTCAACTGGTGCTCCAATTATTTTGGGATTGCACCCAAGGCCCCTATTATTATTATTATTGGTGCTACCTTTGCTTTTTTTTGCCACAGTCATTCTCTTTCTGTTGCAGGTCTTTGCATTTTATGATCTCCAGTTCTTTTTGCTTGACGGTGTTACAGATATCGTCACATCGGAAGCAGTTCCAAGTAAAGCCACCTTCTGCAATTTCCCCAAAAGGAACAATGTGGTGAGTCACAAGGCAGCCAACACCGACAAGTTCTAGCTTATGTGTTGAGTACCAAACAAGCGATGAGTCCTGGGTTAAAAATTTTTGCAGCAAAATATGTTGAGTGCCAAATTCGACGAGTTTCAAAGTGGTTGAGTACCAAGATACTATTGTACATTGATTGAAGGGATCCAGGTGGCAATATATTGGCTTGCAAGGTAATTTCTAAATTGGAGATCCTAGTTTGCATAGGATAGCATGAACATTCTTAAATTGGGCTTTCATAGTACTTGCCATTTACTGGCCAAATCATGGCTAGATAGACTAGAATACTCTTTATCTTTAATAGGGAAAGCTGCATATGGACATGGAGGCAACTAAGGTTGGTGACCTATCTTTTCTACCCTTCTAAAAAGTGTTAAATTATTGAATGTTCCCATTCATAATGGATGGTGGAGATGGGTGTCTATATGCCTGTATAGAAGATTGCAGCTTGAAATGTAAGAAGCGAAAATGATAAAACAAAAACATTAATACATTAAAGGAAACAAAGGAAAATAGATAGCCTGTGTGTATCAGGAGGCACGTAAAAGAGGAAGGGTGTCATAATTCCGAATACAGTGGCTTGACCTTGTAAGTACAGCTGGTGAAAACCAAAAAAGTTGTTCATTTCTACATTCCTTGAAAGTTCTGCAATGTCCTTGTAAGAGAAAGTTCTTTGGCTTACTTCCTATTTTCAATCACGCTTTAAAGCATTTTAAATCCAGCAAGCTTTTAACATTTGATGGTCTGCTGCTTTGAGATATTGACTTGTTTTTATAGCTGCTATCTTAATTCCTGATTGCAAAGCATCCCTGACACCTGCTACATACATTAATAAGTTGTTCTTGTTCTTCTTTTTCTTGTTGTGGTTATTACTAAGCAAAGCAAATGGGGAAAATGAAGATAAAAGGAATGAAATGTACTTTCTGCTGATTGGCCTATATAAACAGCCTAAATAAAACAACACCAAACCAAATGGTTGTATTAAATTATAAGGAAAACAAAAATAATAGAGGACTGCATGCCTTAATCTAATGCCCTCCATACAGGCATGCTTTAAACCAGATTTTCTAGCATTTATGGCTATTTTTAATGTAATTTTATTTATAGACACTGCAGAAGGAAAGCTGTGTCAGCCCATGGTGAGCAAATATTAGTAGGACTCTGAAAGCACCTTTTCAGGGTGATCCAGGTAGTCCTTGAATTACGACCACAATGGGAATGGCATTTCAGTTGCTAAGTGATACAGTCCTTAAGTGAGTCATCACATGCTGTTAGGACCATTTTACTAGCATCGTTAAGCGAATCACACAGTCATTAAGAAAATCTGACTTCCCCCATTGAGTTTGCCTGTTGGAAGCTAGCTGGGGAGGTTTGCAAATTGTAATCGCGTGACCCTGGGACACTGCAACAAATCATAACTGCAAGCCAGTCGCCCAAATTGTGACCACGTGACTAAGGGGAATGGTGCAATGGTTGCAACTTCAAGAAAAGGTCATAATTCACTTTTCCCCCCCAGCACCGACCGCTGTACTTCTGAACCATTGCTAAACAAATGGTCATAAGTTGAGGACCACCTGTACATTTTATTAAAAGGCAGGAGCTTGTAAGAGGTATAGTAGAATGAAGAGACTGACAGAGTTGCTACCAGATTCCTTTTGATTTTTAGCTAGCAGGATCAATTCAGCGAGAACTATAACCTAAACCCTAGAGACTGGGTTTGGGGAGGCTAGATCCGTGTTTTAATTTTACACTCAGTTAAACCTAAACATATTAATCCAATGATCTTCTGTTTCAACAGCTGAGATTCCAGCTCTAACCATTAGGCTTTGAAAAATGCTTAGCTTTTCTGGAACAATTCCAAGCTGGGAGATTGTTTTAATAGGTTGCAGCTAAGCCTTGCTATGTGGCCAGATGAAATGATTTGCTTTAGGCAACAAAGGAAGACAAGAGGAAGAAAAGAGTTGGCATCTGATAGAGAAAGAAATTTAGCCTCAGCTATGAAGGGGGGAGGGGGGGTTAATGTTTCAGCGCTGCTTCAGGCAGCGAAAAGGTTTAGGCTGGCACTGAGCTAATCTGATACACACAGATGGAGAAACGTGTACCTTAAGTAGAGACAGCATGCCAGGACAGCAGTAGAACTAACCACACTGTGATTCAATGCTGTATGAGTGTTAGGCAACAGATTTTACAGATATTAGAACTGTTTAAAAGAAGCAAAAGTAATCCTTTCATTCTGAGTACTACATATCCAAAGATCCCCAAGTAGCAACAAAGTGGATTCTTCGGAAGTTTCAAGTGGTTATTCTTTTTAATTCCTAGGTAATGCTGTTTGGGGCCATACCTGAGGTGGGTTTCAGCAGGTTCTGACCAGTTCTGGAGAACCAGTAGTGGAAAGTTTGAGTAGTTTGGAGAACCGGTAGTAAAAATTCTGACTGGCCACGCCCCTATCTATTCTCTGCATCCCAAGTCCCAGCTGATCAGGAGGAAATGGGGATTTTGCAGTAACCTTCCTGTGGAGTGGGGTGGGAATGGAGATTTTACAGTATCCATTCCCCTGCCATGCCCACAAGCCAAACCCACCAAGCCATGCCATGCCATGCCCACCAAGCCACACCCACAGAACCGGTAGTAAAAAAATTTGAAACCCACCACTGGGCCATATGTGTGTTTGAATGCACCAGAGTTGGGCCTTCTGTGTGGTTTTGAATAAACTCTGCCACACAGTTTAATGGTGGATTTTCATTCACTTCTGCAACTGCAAATTGGTTGGCTTGGGATAATAATTCTGGTTTGCGATGAATTAATAAAGGGCTCAGCACACACGATTAGCTCAAAACATTGTTACAAGTGTTTATAATAAATCCTACAGTTATTTGGTGGTGTTTCATAACATTAAGATGACATCTATTTTGCTTTATTCTTCTTAGGTTTTCCACCTTACCAAAAGATTTCTGCAGGAAAAAAACTCCCAACCATATTACATTTAGAGATTACATTGGCAACCTTCAGTCTCAAAAAGACTATGGTATCATGCTCTGGAAAGAGGTCCTAAAACAGCATCTAGTGTGACTAAAAAGGCCAATTTGAGAGTGGCAAACATTTAGAGAAGAATTTTGTATTTTCAGTGTTGCATTGAACAGGGAGAAATGCTGTCAAACTCAGTTTCCTCAGCATTTCCTGATAGAGGTGGTGACCCTTTGAGAGATGTATGCAGTGAAATCTCATTTTAATGTATGCCGTTTAGCGTACATTCAAAGTGTCAGTAAAGTTATTCTATTCTGTTCTGTTCTGTTCTGTTCTGTTCTGTTCTGCTCTGCTCTGCTCTGCTCTGCTCTATTCTATTCTTCTACAGTGGGAAAATCTTTATCTTATGAGACTCCATTCTTGACTGCTTACAACATAGAGAAAGGAGGATATAAATCATGGGGTAGGAACTTGTGGCCCTCCTGATGTTATTTTACTACACTAATTAAAATTCCTCACCCGTGCTGGTTTGAGGCTATGGAGAGTTGTAGGTAGCTACCTCTGGAGAACTACAGATTACCAGCAATGAAATAAATAAATTGAAATTAAATTGGAGGGAATTGGGGTTCATTTGGCTGTTTTCCCCCCTAAGAGTTGAAAGAGATGGCCTAGCACTTCAATGAATTTCAGTAACATCAATTTTTGAAGAGAAACCTATAACCTGAATTTTGCTTTTAAGATGTTTCAGTATTAATACTGAAATACTTTGGGTATTAGGAGTAGTTTATACCATGGAACCTCTGAAATACTAGGGGATCTTGAATTTTACATTTAGTGTAGCCCTTGATAAGATATGCAGATATGTTTAAATATGTATATGTTGTTGAATGAGGTGTAAACATTTTTTATAGAAGAAAGTGAAGCTGAGGTAAAGGTGGTAGGAAGGGCTATATTTCTTTAAAGTAAATGTATATGTAGTAAATAAGTCACATTGAAGGCCTTTATTCACACACACACACACACACACACACACACACACACACACACACACACACAGAGAGAGAGAGAGAGAGAGAGAGAGAGAGAGAGAGAGAGAGAGAGAGAGAGAGAGAGAGAGAGAAATGGGCATACAAAACAACTCAATGCCATTTTTGTTAACCTTACCTCTGCCTTTGATTCCACTGACAGGTCTTGACTATGAAACAAGCTAGTAATAAATCAGAATACAGCTAAATTTTAAACTTCTGCAATTTGAATCACCATCATTTCTTTTTGTGCTAATTCACATGTGCCCTTTTAGTAGCTAGCGTTAAACCAATCTAGAACTATGCCCTGTAACTGTACCATTTCAGACAAATGGTTGTCCAATCTCTTCTTAAAAACTTCCAGTGTTGGAGCATTCACAACTTCTGGAGAAATTATATGAAAATTATCCAAAGTCTAGTTTAATTCAAAGGATACTATTTTGCTTAATCACATATAGGTATATGTTGTCATGGCATTCTGAATGTGATGTAATATAACAGGGAGATTTCATTGGCCAAAGAAATTTTTAAAAATGCATAATGAGCTTTTAGATACCATGGTGATATTTATATCCTGCAGTGCTGATGGAACAAAAGGAGAAAAGAAAACTCACAGTAGAAATGTAAATGTTTAGCAACCTGGCACTTTGTCATCAATGTGCCCTCAATATTAAATTGTTCATTGATCAAAAGCTGATCTTAAGCTTGGAAATACTACTAACATTACTTTTGGAGAAAACCAAATTGTGACTGTAAACAACAGGTCTTTTATTAACTTTATATGAAAATTTAGTTACATGTTTTTCTCTAACAAGACCCTGGCGATTCCCATATAAATCCTGGTAAGATCTCCAATAGACTAAACTTATTTGTGATATTTGATGCTGTCATAAAGGATGAGCTGGAAGCTAATGCTAACTCATAATATTCCATTCAGCCAGTACAGTTGGCCCTGTAAAAAGGCCCAGGAATTTTGGATGACAGGCAAACTCTGTTAATTTTTTTTCTACTAGAGATTGATGTGTTTCTTTATTTTTTTTGCCCTATATGCCAAAATAAATGATCTTGTGTTGGACACCATATCCCTGGTCATTGATAGATTACAAAGTGCTATTTGCTGTCTTGTCTAGAGCCAATTCTACAAGCTGGATCTTCGCTTTCTGCCTCTATCTGTATCAATTAAACAGGAAATTCAGCAGTTGCACCAACTTGTTTTCCTTCTCCTATCCTGTCATCTGCCCAACTTCCTCTATCTGCTAGAGAAGCAAATGAGGTTATAATAGTTCTTTCAACTGGTCAAAAAAGAGGTTGGACAGAAAGAACGAGGAGACAAAGACCAAGAGCACCAGATCTCCAACTTCTGTGATTTAAAGCACGGGTGTCAAACTCGCCATGTCTCATTGCTATCATGTGACATTTTGTGACGATTTTCCCATTTGCGGAGCTGGGGTTGGCATAGCTTGTATATGATGCATTCGGCCCACGGGCCACCAGTTTGACACCCCTGGTTTAAAGGGACAAAGTAAATTTCTAGGCTGCTTTCTGATGACTCTAATTAGTGATTATACATTCAATATGTCTTTCCCTGAGCAAGGTTGATACTCAGTGTAGCAGATCAAATAAGTGATATAAGCATTTTCTTACAGTGGGAAATGCCAGCTTAATTACTGAATGAGAGCGCAAATATGCCCTCTGTGGTATAACCTGTTTAGCATACTGAAATGCCAAGTGTACAAAGAGGGGCATACTGGCTAGTTATTTACTTTGGGGCTCTAAAAACACACCTCTATCTTTAGGGGTATGACATAGATAAAGGTAATTTTTTAACCAATTTACCTGTATTCTTACTCAGTTTCATATCCTATGAGAAATGGTGTGATCTCTCTCCCAGCCCTAGACTGGGAATTCGAAGAGCAACTATCTACCTACCTCTACTGGACCAGCATAAGAGATTATGGTCCATAACAATTAATGAAGGAGCTTTCATCTTCCAGTGGTTGATTCAGGCTGATGACAACAACAGTTTATGCCATAATGCCCAACAAGACTGTTACTACCCTGTTTTCCCCAAAATAAGACATCCCCTGATAATAAGCCCAATCGGGCTTTTGAGCTCATGGCAATTAGGCCAAGCACTTATTTCAGGGTATTTCAAAAAAAATATAAGACAGGATCTTATTTTCAGGGAAACATGGTATTAAAATAACAAATAAAAATAAAATAACAAATTGAAAGATAATAAAGTAATACAGCACAGGGAAGAAGAGAACAAAGATGAGGAAACAAAGAGTATTCTACTTCAGGGTGTGAATTAATTAATTATATTAGTTCGGTATTTTAAGAACTGTCAGGAAAAGAAAAGAAAAGCCAAAAGGGTTACGAGGAAACATTGGAAAAGGAGGACTGATTATAGAGTTGAAAAGGAAGAGGTTTTTGTGATAACAGATATGAAAGGAAGATCCCTGGTGATTATGAAATAGAAATGGAACACTCTGTGGGGTAGAGAGTTCCCCCCTCCTTATTGAACTCCGTCTCTGTCTTTTGCTCATGAAAAATTTACCCCCAGAAAACCATGTAATACAGATTTTTGCAGGGACTCTCCTGAACATATTGCATATGTATGGGATCATGGTTTTAAAGAAAAATAATTAGGAGATACTTTAACCCTAAAACTCTATCCAAACAATTAAAGTTTTAAAAAACAGTTGCAAGGATTTGAATTACTACGAACTCACCAGGCAGGATGGCTAAAAATTAAAGAGGAAAAATTGGGGTTGGGGAAGAATGAAGAAAAAAAAATGATGTTGAAGTATCATCAATCAGAATAGAGCTGGAAGGGACTTTGGAGGTCTTCTAGTCCAACCCCCTGCTCAAGAAGGAGACCCTATACCATTTCAGACAAGTGGCTGTCAAGTCTTTTCTTAAAAACTCCAGTGATGAAGCACCCACAACTTCTGAAGGTAAGCTGTTTCACTGGTGAATTGTTCTCACTGTTAGGAAGTTTCTCCTTAATTCCAGGTTGGTTCTCTCCTTGATTAGTTTCCATCCATTGATTCTTATCTTGCCTTTTGGGGCTTTGGAAAATAAGTTGACCCACTTTTCTTTGTGACAGCCCCTCAAATACCGGGCCACTGCTACCATGTCATTTGTAGTCCTTTTTTTTTCTCTAGACTGTCCATACCCAATTCCTGCAACCATAAAAAAAGTAGGCACATTACACTCTTAGATGATGTAATAAACTCTAAATATGTACATTTAGTTTGCCAAGTTTATTAATTTTCATAAATAAATAAACAATATTTTCATTTATTTCCATCTGATTTCTACACTGCCCAGCTTATGTAAGTGACTCTGGGTGGCTTACAATCATAATATAAAAGCATAAATAAGAACAAATTAAAAGGAGAATTTAAAAGGTTAGGTTTGAAATATTAACAGTTAAAGAGTTAAAAAGTAGGGAGAACGCCGTCATGATACCAACCACTCCCAAGGTTGCATATCACTCTTCAATTTGCATACCAAATGCAGAGCCAAGTCTTAACATTTTTCTGAGCTGGAAGAGTAGGAGCTCACTCGCCTCATCTTTAGGGTTATGCTGGTGAAAATGGCAGAGAAGGCTAGTTCTAGAGTCATTATGCAAATGACTCTCAAAGTTTGCTAGAAGGAAGACAAAATCAGATCACCGTTTACCCAAATTTGGAAGATATATACATATAATATTCCAGTTATTAATTATGCTTCCATACATTGAGGGATGAACTGATTTCTTTGTGGGCAAGAAACAGAAGGCAAATCACTATATATTAACAGTGCCAAACATATTGAAGGTTGCAAAAGCAGCCACAAAATCTCAGAAGCCTAGTTGGAATTTGAATGAGAGACTACCAGAGCAGTGGTGAAATCCAAATTTTTTTACTACCGGTTCTGTGGGCATGGCTTGGTGGGCGTGGTGTGGCTTGGTGGGCGTGGCAATGGAAGGATACTGCAAAATCTCCATTCCCACCCTATTCTGGGGCCAGCCAGCAGTGGTATTTGCTGGTTCTCCGAACTACTCAAAATTTCTGCTACCAGTTCTCCAGAATCTGTCAGAACCTGCTGGATTTCATTCCTGCACCAGAGCATATCATAGCTGTTAGCATTAGAGCTGGCAAGCTGGAAAAATTATGAATTTTTGAAATATTGAACATTTTGAACTTTTTTCCTATTAAGCAAAAAAAAAAAAAAAGCTAAGTCAAAAGAAAAAAAAATATAAAGAAGTGACTTTCTACTTTCATCACAACAGCATAAAGAATTCTTCTTTTATTGTAACCTATATTTTCTTCTGTTTTCCTCTAATGTCCAATCTTCAAAGTCCCATCTTGTATTTATATTCAGAATTCAAAACAATAGCACTTTTTCAATGGGGAGGACTCATAATTACTTTAAAAAAATTATTTCAAATCCATCTAAACCTTTATCCATTTGTAACTTTCCAAAATCAAAGTTCTAACCACCTTTTTGCAGTTTATTCCCTCCAATCTTTTTTTAATTTATTAAACTTGTAGTTCAAATATCTTTTGCTAAAGATTAAAGCAGTCTCACTTGGTGCTATAAAATGTGTTTGCTTCAAAGGTTCCTAATAGTTGAAAAGCAGTTAAGAATTTTTGAAAGTGATTAGAAAAGGAATTATGTGAATCTAGTGCCCTTTCAAAGATGCCAACTGTAATTTACGCAAGATGATTATTCCATCATCTTGCAAAGTTATAAATCTGCTGGAAGCTTATGATCATCTTGTGGTCTCCTCATGAGGGGACATCTTGTGTTTCTCATGAACAGCAGCTGTCTGGAGTGGGTGATCTCAAGTCATCTCCTCATCTGAAGAATTATTGAAGAGTTAGTCTACCCATCAACTCTTCATTTTGATACAGTCATCAGCGCTGCTTTTCACAGCCCTGCCTTCATTTTTTCCCCCAGAAGTCCCATATTTTTAATATAAGAATCATTCAGTATTTGCTGGCTAATCTTTTAAACTTTCTCAGGGTAAATGTTTGTATTTAGCTGAAAACATAGGGAGCATACCTTCACTCTTTGCTTTTCTTTTGTTTTTCTGGACTTCCTAGAAATATTGGAGAATCATTCCTAATTTTTAAAAAGCATTATTTAAAAAAAGCTTAGAATATTAACAGAATCTGAAGGAAGTCTAAAGTACTTGCCCATTACAGTTTTCAGTGTACAATAGAAACATTTGTATTTCTATACATAATTCCTTTCTTCAGAAAGTTTTCTTACAAGCTGGGGCAAGATTCAGAGAACACTTTTAAGCACCAAGAATACAGTTTCAGAGGCCTTTGAAATATACCTGCTACTCACACTAATATATAGTATATTGACCTTTTTAAAAAACTATCTGATGATAATCATAATTTGAAACATTCACAGTTCATTTGAAAACTTAGTGCTAGTGGCTGTTCTCAATTCACTCTCTGTACTTCTTTGGAGGTCATTGCTTTCTATATTTTTCAATGCCGATAGAGTAAAAGAAAGCTGAACAGATGAGATAAACACAATGACATTTGTAGAGTCTAAACTGAAAAAATGACCCACAGTTAGGTGTGCTTCCTTTTGTTGTAGAAAATCTAAGAGTGAAGTCACAGTATATTAAAAAAAACAAGTTTCAATGAAATGTTGCTTAGCACCGAACTTTGAAGTCCTTGCAGACATTTCATTATCTAAATAGGTAACATTAATGACGTTACCAAATAACCAAGCTTGGAGAATGCCAAGGACTCTACAAACAAGAAGTTTGTAACAAACAAACTTGAGTTAAGAAACATCTTCACTTTGTGCCCTTCTGACACAATTG